GGGCAAAGATAATGGTGTCACTTTCGACCCTACCAAGTGCGAGCTCCAACACTTTACTAGAAAGAGCGGGCCGGGCAACACGAATCCCCGCCTACGATATGAAAACTATAATGTCAGCCCTAACGAAGCCACTAGGTGTCACGGCAGTGAGGCGGATTCAAATCAGATTGTGTAGGATTGACTACAAGACGTGGTACGAAGAGGAAAGGAAGAGAACGAGAGGCGGCGGCCATATATATAGCTCGCTGGTAGGCGCTAGGCGCTAAGCAAGAGACAACGAGCGAGACAAATACAAACAACAATTGACAAATAACAAATAAGACAAACCATCAGAAACATGAACAAACAACAATTAGCAAATAACAAACAAAGACAAACCGTCAGCTAGCGCTTGCTGGTAGGATCTGCAAGGAACACGCTAGAAACCCGTGACACTTTCTATGCCGAAAAGTTTAACCTACTCCCGAACTTATAATTCGGGGCTAGGCCGGGTAGGTCAACGGAGCAAGCCCTTCTTATCCTAGTCGACGCAATCTGGTCTGCCTGGAAAGAGCATAAAGTAGTCACCCTAATGGCGTTCGACCTTAAAGGCGCCTTTAACGCGGTAAATAAAGAAGCTCTAGATAACTGTCTAGGCCAGAGAAGAATCCCAAGTCAGGCAAGGAAGTGGATTAGCAGCTTTATATCCGATAGATCCGCCTCAATCTCATTCGACGGATTTACTAAGCCTGCATCAACACTTAGCTACCCCGGTCTCCTATAAGGCTCTCCTCTCTCACCAATTCTCTTCGCTTTCTACAACGCAGACCTAGTGGATTAACCAGTAGATTTTACCGGAGGCGCGTCCGCCTATATTAACGACTACTTCCGGTGGAGGGTAAGCCTCTTAGTATAAAAGAACCTAACAGCGCTGTAGAGAGAGGACATCCCTAGAATCTAGCAATGGGCACGGCGTACCGGATCGACTTTTGAGGTAGACAAGACCGAGCTTATCCACTTTACAAGAAATACCAATCAGGACTGCCTAGCAACCGTAACAATAGGTAGACACGAGGTTAAACCAACAAAGGCGGTAAAGCTACTCGGAGTGGTTCTCGACCAAGAACTTAGATAGAGAGCGCATGTCCAAAGAGTAATTAAACGAGCTACTACAACCTGCTTAGCAATAGGCAGGCTAGGGCATCTTAGACCGAAGCAACTCCGCTAGCTATACCAAACCTGCGTGGTCCCGCAAATAGACTATGCCTCTACAGTCTGGCACTCCCCCAACAGGTGCAAGTGGCAAATATCGGTTCTCTCCAAGGTCCAACGGCTAG